AAGGATCAGAACGGTCTTTTCCAGCCTCTCAATCTGTGTAACACCCAAAACTGAAGGCAAATTGAGCTTTCTATATTGACATAAATATCCACATGAATTCGTGGAAATTGTGACGTATTATGAACATAGACTCTAGCACCTAATTTGCAGGTATTGAAAACATTCAGCCCCACCTGTAGAAGCTTTACATTGACACCAAACTCCTTGTCTAAATAGACTACTTACACAAGGTGAAAAGATATTTTGTATTTGCAGTGCAAACAGTCCTTTCATATATTAGAAATAATTTACAGATTACAACGATGTTATAAAAGATCATAACAATAAAAGAGCTGACACGTAAGGAAGAAGTCATTAATCATGATTGTCTTGGCAAAGAGATAACAAAGACAACAGGACATAAAGTCACCTACAAAAATGCTTCAAGTGCTTAAGCTCAACTGTAGCAGTCTTGCTTTGGAGAATGCAAAAAAAAAAAAAAAGGTAAAGAAAAAAGGAAGAGTTGAGTTCCTTATCAGAAAAAAATAATAATTAAAAAAAATGACCAAAAACAAAACAGAACAAAAACAAGAGAATTCCTTCCACTTACAAATAAAAATCAATCCCTTTCAAAAAAAAAAAAAAAAAGGTAAAAAATTTAAAAAATTTGGTTATTTATTCAACCCTTGAAAGAAACACTTAAAATTGGATAAGTAGGGATACAGGTACAGTATGAATACATGGAATATATGGTAGGAATACACGGTAACAAACAGTCAGAAGCCATGAGAAGAACAGATAGGGGACAACAACTCTTTGTTCACCTCTGATTTCTCTGTCAAATAGTCCTATGAATAGTTAGGCCAGATGTAAAGAAGAGAGAGTTACAACTCTTTAACAAGGCCTTAATTTGAGAATAGATATATGAGTACTGCTCTGAAAACTTCCTGTTTTATTATGCTGTTGGACCGCAATGTCAGAGGCAAATATTGTTGGTATGCAGTAGAGGTTGAACATTCCTACCAATATTATATTATGTGTTGTTGCTGTCTGACAGATGGCAGCAGAGGGGCATTCTGACAAAATGGTGTCTGACATGGAAGTGTGTACAAAGCAAAGGTGTGTCACTGAATTCCTTCATGCGGAAAAAGTTGTACTCATTGACACTCACTGATGCTTGCTTAATGTTTGTGGAGATCAAACAGTGGATGTGAGCACAGTGAGGGGTGGGTAATGCACTTCAGCAGTGGTGACAGCAATCATGGGTCATCTCTACTAGTGCAAACGTTTGTGAGCACAGTATGCAGGCTCTTGTACATCACTGGTGGAAATTAACTGCTAATAGTGGTGAATGAGTTGAAAAATAATGTTTTGTACCTGCAAATTTACTATATGAAATGGTCTTATTGTGCTCTTCATATCTGTTGTAGTTTTCATGGAAATAAATAGGGGACATCACTTCCAGAATGATTTAAACATAAGCCAACATCCACATTGTATGCAGAGACAACTGAGATTCAAGAAACAATTTTCCAGGCCAATGAAACCTGTAGTGACTGAAAAAGAAGTGATAAAATAAAAAGAGTTACTTACAGAATAAAAATGCAGAAATTACAGCTGCAGCTACCAACAAAAGAAGATATGAGGAGGGAAGCAGAAGGGAGGTCAGATACTTTCCTGTACTAAGCACTTCAAAGATAAGGAAGTGAAGTATCATGCGAGGTGATAAGAAGAATATGTAAACATCACAGTCTGTTGACTCTAGTCCTTTGGATAATAATGGTGTAACCTGCAAATACGGTAGGGAAGAAAGAAGTATCAGACATGTCCCTCAAGTAACAGATAGAGCCAAGCAGAAGAAATACTGCAGCTGTGATAGCAGTTTCTCATCTTTCTTCCAAAATCTGAAGCTGCCCATTTGTTTGGCAAAGCTTCCCTTCCTCAGGTCTCTCCAGAGGCTTTGCTGCAAAACCAAAGAGGTTGCTAGATCCTTGCATGCATCAGGCTGTGATGTCTGCCAAAAGCAGAGTCCTTCAGCAACACACAAATCTCACATACAGAAAACTGACCAGACCAAATGAACTGAATGCAAATCTCTCCTAGTGTGTGGTTCATGTATTAGGTGCTTCTCAAGCCTCACATGCATAAGGAGGAAGATTTTTCTTGTCATCATCAGGATCTCTCCTTGTATTCCAAAAAGTAGTATTTCACTGTCATGGAGACAGTTTCTTTGGGATAGAGAAAACAGACAGAATGTTCTCCTTGTCAGCATTCTCCAGGGAAAGAGGCAGATCCACAGATCATTTACTCCTGCTGCTGCTGGCAGGATGTAATTTTCTGAGCCAAAGATTGAAGCAGAGAGACCTTGGACAAAGACAGCTATAAGCTACCTTCCTTTTCCCAGCCCATGGCAGTCTGAAGGGGACTGAGTGCAGACTTGACCATTCTGGAGACCGCACTAAATCCTAGAAACCTCCTGCAGCTTCTCCTCAGCCTTGATCAGAACCCCCATAGCTCTGCATTTTAACACCTTGTTTAAAAAAAAAATAACAAAATTATTTGGGTATGAGTGAACTTTAATGGCTATCTAGTTCCAACACCCTACCATGGACAGGAATGCTTCCCACATGATCAGGTTGCCCAGAGACCCATCTAAGCTGACCTTGAGCATTTCTAGGAAGGGATCATCCACAGCTTCTCCAGGAAACTTCTTCCAGTGTCTCACCAGCTTAATGATGAGTAACTTCTTCTTTACATCTAATCTAAACTTCTAGTTTAAAACCATTGCACTGTCTTATCACTATACTCGATGATAAGAAGTCCCTCCTCGTCTTTTGTTTTGGCCCCTTTCACAACATTACTTTAATGCAGCTTAATGGCTGTCTTCTGTGCTGCAAAGGTCATGAGAAAGACTGCTGTCACTGAACCCCAGCCTCCTAGAGAAAACCTAATGATGCACAACATGTATGGGGTAAAATGGTCTAGAGTGAGAAGGAGGAAGGGCTTTCTTTCTGGGGCCAGGACAGTTGTAAGGAGTAGATTTGGAGTCCATGTCAAAATGCAGCCCTACAGCACAATTGACTCATCTACAGTTCTTCTGTAAGGATCAAGAATTTACTGTGTCATTTTCAAATGCCTTTCACTATCAGAGAACTACAAATACAGAATAATCAGTCTCTTTGCCAGTGGTGTGCTAAGGTTAAAAATTAAGGAAAAAAACAAGCCAAGCAGAGTTGTGAGCCATAAAACAATACTAAAATTTACACAGACGCTGGTCACAAGCTGTAGTGTCTCAAATATTTCGAGTTTCTGAATTAAGCCACAATAAGCATAAATATGTGTGCTATCATTTTTCTTAATGATTTATCGTGCTTTTCCATGCAGCTTTCTAAAGCATCATCTGGAATATGGCATACATTCCATAATCTTTTGCAAATCTTTGTTGCCCTTTGTTCACAGAACAGAACTTAATTTATTTGCCACTGAAACAAATCGAAATTTATGAAACCACCTTCACAAAGGCAAAACTTGGGTGAATGTCTGCTGTTGGAATTTTGTAACATGTTAACTGTTGTCCAGCTATGTAAACTTTGGAAGAAAAAAAAAGTCAAAGGATTTTCAAAACCTCTCTGTTTTCTTTGAAATCAATGGCCAATCTCCTTCTAATCCTACAGATCTTGGAGATTCACTTCCCTATAATTTATTTAATCTTCTTATTTATAGATAAGTAGGTCATGTGGAAAGAAAAAGACTACCTACAGAACTCACTGTATGTACTTCTGCAATTAACATGTCCCCATCACCATTAAATTATCCAAACAGGTCAAGTTGGGTCCAAAATCTCTTTCATCAGAAACATAGTACTCCCTAGACTGCATTTCAGACAGTAGAGCCGCTTATGTCTTTGCAGATATTACCTATAAATATTACCCATGATGGATTATCAGTCCACAAGAAACACAAAAGAAGACTTTGTCCCATGAACCTTCTGTCATTTATCTGTTGTTAGCTTACTCCCTGCTGCAACATACAAAAAATAAGAACTTACATTTTCAATTACAAATATGAAATAATTACATATAGTTTTCATGATAAGAAATAAAATGCTTCTAAGCTTGTCTTGCAGGATAAGCCATTGAACTTCAAACAAAAATAGTGAACTTAAGAATATAAATAGCCAGTGTGCTGTATAATAGTGAAAGATGCTGCAACAAAAGGGAAATGAGAAACTTCAAAAATGGCTGACTATAAAGGGCACAAATTACTGCAAAATAACTTCTAGAGTAACTACCAATGTCTGCAAAATGAACAAAAAAAGGCTAAAATCTTAAGCATTTTCTGAAAATGAAAAGAAAAAAAAAAAGAAAAAAAAAAACAGAAAACAACAAACAGAGGGAATATAACAGAGAACTATTAGAACATACCAAATGAGAAGTTGGAATTCTGAAGAAAGTCAGAGAAAGCTAAAAAAGGAGAGAAAGAATTTGTTCAAGTCATATCACAGCCAAAAAAACAGTGAAATAGAAAATCAGGATGGAATGAGGAATGAAATTACAGAGAAGAAAAAACATCCAAAGCACTGCATGAAGAAATCCCTCAAAATAGTACCAGTTCCACCATGAAAAAATAATGAGTACAGCATCCTCCAAAATCTAAAAACAAGCCATGAAAACAGATACCATAGTAAAAGCCCCTGCCCTCTATAGACAAAAGCAAATCTGCCGCTGTTATGAATCATCTTGCATCAAAATAGTATAGGTTTGTTCCTACACATTTCATGAAATGCCTTTGTTTCCTAGGGTACAGAAAGATACAGGTTAAGTATCTTGGAGAAAAGTAGCCACTTTTAGCATGAATAACCACTCCAGCAAGTCAAACAACTGTTTAAAATTAACTTCTAATAGAAAAGAAAGAAGACTAATAACATAATAATAATTGAAAAATAATTCATATTACATTTTCCTTATCTCCTAGATTATTTTTCAAGGATGGAAGGAAAAAAATGACATACCAGCAACAAAGCTTGATTTACGGAATAACAGGAGAATTACCCACAAAAACAGTGAAGGGCACACCGGTGTCATATGCCATCAACATTCCTGCAAAGAAAATCAGCCTTTACTACCTTGATTTCTATGTATAGATTAAAAAAATTCTTTTTGCAGCTTGGCCTTTTTGCCAGTCAGACTTTGGCGCATATTTATTATGAAAAGAATCATTATTTAACTTTGTTTCTGAAACACTGAAAATGTCTTCACAAAAAATCTCTGTTTCTTTTCTTTCTTTCTTTCTTCCTTTTTTTCTTTTTTTCTTTCTTCCTTCCTTCCTTTTTTTTTTTAAATTTTAATGTCATCTCCTTCATTTTACTTTTATATATACATATATATATATTATATACTATATATAATATATATATATATGTATATTATATTATATATTTCACTCATACCTAAGTGAATAGATCTTCAACTTTCAGACGCCAAACTCAGAACTGCAAGGATAATACACTGACACTGTGACAACAGAATTTAACTAAAAATCATGCCCCATGGAATTCACAGACACTGAACAAGAGTGGAACAGCCTACATCTTTGATAATCAAATGCGTATTAATAGTCTGTCAGAAATGTCCCTGCACTTTTCAAACTGCCAAACTAAGCCTTGGAACACCTGGTCAGAACGCTTGTCAGAATGAGTCAAATCTCTGGCAAGAAGGGCCTTTAACACTTTATTACCACATCTTTCTTTAGCTGGGAATGTTCCCAGGCATGTCTGAATTTTGTATAATCGACACATCTTTGAGTCTGCCTGTGCTGCTACTGGGGCAATGCAATTTGATAATAACAGGTGTATATGTGATCACAAAAGGGCATAAAGGTGACAGTCTGGCTCTGGATTTGGAGCCTCTTGCTCTAGAACAATAATACAAGCTCTTCCAGAGTCAGACGGAACTACAATTCTTGTTTAATTTAATCAGTAATAAAAGAAACCTACTCCAGAAACTTTATGTCTTCCTACACTGAAAATTTGGGAAATTCTGTTTCCTTTGTAGCTTTGACTGCAGTGAGTCCTCTTAGTGCTTTTACAAGCCAAAGACTCTTCAGAGGGAAATCTGGTTTGATGATCTGTGGCAAAGGATCACTCTGAACATATTATCCACATCAACAAAAGTACAAAAACATAATTAAAACTAGAAATAACAACATATTCAAAGTGATCTCATTTGCTGCTGGTGAAAAAACATGTCATACAGAGTGAAAAAAAAACAAAAACAAAACAGAGGGTAGCACAGATTAAAAATAAAAATGATTCAAATTTGTACAAATGGAGTTTGACATCTGGAAAATCCTAGTTCTACACTGACAAACATTCCTTGCATTGAGCTCACAAACAGTTCTAAATATTGCCTGGACTGGAAGTAATGAATCTTTTAGGATACCCCATCTGCTCAAGATTATAGATTGTGCTCTCAGTTCTCTTCCTAATACTGACTGCCATGCAAACTGCCTTGAGCTGGCAAAAGCAATGGCATGAGAGTTCACTAATGACACAAGCATGTCTCTTTAGTCAGCTTTGAGAGGAAGATTTGGAATTCCACAATGCTTCCATAGTTTTCTACAGATATTCTTCAAGTGAATGAGTAACAGACTTACTCTCATCTCTCTGCTGCTAAGGCTTTATGCTCTTATGAGATTTGCTTTACTTTATCAAAAAGAGGTAAGAGAGTTCTTTCAGACAGAGAACAGGCGGATTAAGCAGACCTGCTAAAGTGAGTTGTACAAACACTTTTAAATGCAAGCAGCAAAGAGAAAACTAACTCTAACAAGTGCATTTATTTCTGCCTGAAAGTTATGAGTAGCATCTTAGCCCTGATGTGTTGTAAATATACATACATACACCCATATGGACAGACAAGCTTAATTCTGTCATCATTGCTGTGTCTTTGCAGCTGTGAAAGGAACCAGATATTTTGTTCTGTCTCAACTTCTATCAGCACTTAAATAGTCAGCTAATTCCCAACTACTTCGTACTTATGACTGATAGTGATGAAGGCAATGGAAAAACAAAAAGGACTCCACACCAATCTGATTGCATTTGCAAGGGTACAGGAAAAATATATTCTTCAGATGCTAAGCAAATCTGTGGCACAGTGATAGTTGGAGGATTCCAGTTTTGGTGTCCCACGCTAAACAATGCTTCCTGAGGTTTAAAGATGTTCTTATTAGTTGTCAAATATTTTTGCTGATGGATGGTTCCCTGTACAGTACAGCCTCTTCAGGCAATGCTGGAAATTCAGCTTCCTCATACAGAGGGAGAAATTGTGACTCCTTCAAGTCTGAGCCTGGGCCTCAGAAACATGTCTCACTCTTCACCACAGATCCAGAAACAGTTACCTCTTCTGATACTGTAAATTAAACTCCCCAAATGAGTAGGAAATTAAAGTGAAACAGAATACCATTTCTGAAATAAACCAGTCGCCACCAGCTGTCTGGATTCAAAAAGTCAACTCCTGACTCAGCTGCTTGGCATTCCCAAAATCCAAGCATGTCCTACGTGTATTTCTATCTCCTCCCCTCACTTTACTACTCATTTTGTTGGGTAATAGTATTCAAAGGTCACTGTAGCAGCACAGTGTATAATGGATCACAAAAATTATCTGAATTTAGAAATAAGCTCTTTATCATACTAACCTCAGTGAGAGGCCATCAAACTGTACGGGACAGAAGAAGTCTTGGAACATAATTGATGCCACTGAAACTAGAGACTTTTGGAACTATACCCTGAGTTTGTGTTGGTTGTATTTTTTTTTTTTTTTTTTTTTGTTGTTGTTGTTGTTGTTTGTTTGTTTTTCTGTTTTTTTGTCTTTTTTGTCTCTCTATGTCTTTCTCCTTTCATCTTCTTAAGTAGTTTTTTAATTGCCTGGTTTCTATGAGGCCAGATTACACATGACCGCTAGAGTGTTGCAATGAGTGAGTTTTGTCCTGTATATAATCAAAAAAAAAAACCAAGGCCCTTGTTTTTCATGCAAACTGATGAAAGTTTGGGAATCATGAAAGTCTGTAAGAACTGCAGAAAAATCTTTAAGCAAAAGTGCATTTATTCTACAACATATTTTAAAATTTTACTTCATAAGTGATCGTCTCCTCCAGTCTATTAGTGCAGTGATCTGAATATACAGTGGACCTATTACCTATATGATATGGATCCCCGAATCTCTTGTATCAAAATTCTCCTCTTCTGGGGGAAGATGGCCTTCCAACAAACTTTCAGTTGCCCACTATTAAATAGCTTTTCTACAGATGGAGCTTTTGCCTTATCTTTTATCTCCCTTCCCAAATCTTTTTTTTTTTTTTTTTCTTACAGGAATCTACTGTCCAGTTTTAATGGAATTATTGGTGAACTATCTATCATCTTGAGAGGATAAATAAAGTAATATTCATAATCAGCACCTCAAAAAAGCCTTAAAGGTCTTAGTAATTGAACTAAAACCCTCATTCTTAATGGACTTAATGTTTATGGACATGCAAACAGCAGAGATACATGTGCCGTGTTAAGGATCTCAGTTGTATCTGACTTCATTCACAACTCTGCAAGATCTTTGCTTTTCTTGGTCTAGTAAAACAATCAGCTGTCTGAATGGAATCAGAAGATAACTGCTTTACCATTATCTCTGTCATCAACACACAGCTGTCATGGATTCAGCAACTTAATAACATCATCAGATTGGGAAGAATGTGTCTACAGTCCCACTGTTGGTATTCGCACTCTGTTCGATCTTTCCTGTGCAGAATGTAGTAATTTGTATAGTAATGATTTTAGTGAACAACTGGTCAGTGAGTTTGCAGAGGTATTCTCTTATTTATATTTTAGACTTCTGCTTCTTGTGATTGAAATTATCAAATATGTGTGCCAGTAATATTTTATCTCTGACAAAGCCAAAGTAGCTGGCATTAATATGGTATTTTTCTTATGACTTTCAATACAAAATATTTCCCTAGAACTAGAGTTGGGCATGGTGCATTACAGTCCTCGAAAAAGCATGTTCCCAGCTCTGGGAAAGCTGGAAGTTGAAGAAAAAACAGCATTTTGGCCAGTATTACCTGACTTTATACCATGGGAACATTTTCTATTAACTTTCTGTATATTTCTTTAAATTTGTTCCCAAGGCAAAAGCAAAACTTATTTCAAGATCCATAAGAAACATTCTTCTCTCCAGCAAAGTCTTCCACAATCTGTGGCTTTCAGTTATCAGAACAGATAGACACATTCTTCTGTTCATGAAATAATAGGTTCAAGATCATGAGTACCTTCTGTCCTCCCACATTAGGGCTACCTATCTCAGTTCTAGATACTTATTTTGATTTTAGATTCTTTTCCCTGCTTCCATTCTTTTGGTACAAAAACAAAACAAAACAAACAAACAAACAAACAAAGACAACCATGAGGCAAACGACAAACAAACTGGACATTTATTTCTAAGATTTGTCTTCAGTTTACTTTTGACTTAAAGGACAGTTCTTCAGGCTGTGAAATAGATGCCAAATCTAACATGAATAACATTTGTCTGGAAAGAAGTGTATTGCAGACAAATGCCTAACACTCTGGGCATATTGTATTTGTACCATTTGGGAGAGTGAACTGCGACAGGACATAACAAACAGGAGTTAATATTAGCCCCTTCAGGACATGATGATCTATAAGCATGGAAAGAGCCATATACAGACACACAGTCTCGGCAACCGGAAAGGAAAAGGTGGGATCCCAGTGAGTGTAAGAGTTATTAATTTGTCACATAAAAAACTCTGTTCTTGACTGCATCTCTGCTATATGACCTTCTTTATCCTTCTGCCGTAACACACCCTTCAGCTGAGCCTTCTTGAACACTCCTTCCTCTTTCCTTTTTAGGCATCAAGCTGTTTCCCTGCCCTAGCTGGCCAAGACAAACAGTCCTAAAATACTGTAATTTCTCAGGAAGTGTACCACCTCCTGAAGACAACCGTGTCTTCACTCATTACTTTCTGATGACAGCTGCATTTTCACACATTCTTTGGAAAAGAAATCCTGTCTCAATTCTTTTCCATATATTTTCAAAACCAT